TGTCCTTCAACTCATAGAGATCCTCCTGCCCCTGCTTTTGCTGTGATTAAACGTGTGGCCACCACACCTGTGATGGTCTGAAAAAAAAATTACCCCCATAGGCCCAGAGGGAGATATGGCCTTTTGGAATAGGTGTGGCTTTGTAGGAAGAGGAGTGTCTAAGGAATGGGCTTTGAAGTCTCTGATGCTTAAGCCTGCCTGTTGTCACTCTCTTGTCCCATTGATCCAGATGTAGAACTATCAGCTCCTTTCTAGCACCTTGTGTGCCTGTGTGCCTCCATGACAACAATGGACTAGATCTCTGAAACGGTAAGCCAGCCCCAATTAAATGCTTTCCTTAATTAATTGTTTTTCGAGACAGGATTTCTCTGTGTACTCCTGGCTGTCCTGGAACTTGTTTTGCTCTGTATACCAGGCTGGCGTCAAGATCCACTTGCCTCTGTCTCCTGAGTGCTGGGATTAAAGGCATGCACCAGCACTGCCCAGGACATGATGTCCTTTATGAGTTGCCATGGTCATGGTCCCTCTACAGCAATAGAAACCCTAATTAAGACAACACCTGACTAGTTTTCTGGTTTTTAGAGATGCCCTAGGTGTCCTGGCTCATCATCCTGTCTTCCTGTCTTCAAAGCCAGTAGCATTTGGTCCAGTTCTTGTGCTGCTATCTCTCTAGTGCTCCCCTGCCTTGGTCTTTCTTCCAAGAGCTGTGCAGATTACCACTGTGTACCTGGACAATGTCCCTCTTACCCCCCCTGTCTCAGGATCGTGGGATTATTAGCAGCCTGATTTTCTTCTGCAGGGTGTGAACTGCTGTTGGGTCTGTTAGGAAAACAAATCTCACTATGAAAAATCCCAAATGTCATTACAAAGCCCAGGGAGTAATGAAATAAATGTTGTACCTGGCGCCTCCACCTGGAATATGTTGCCCTAACTCTTTTTTACTTATCACTGAAGAACTTTAAGCTGTAATTTCTGTCTACGTCTCTAAACTAGGACACTTTTCTAAGGAATTACTACATGTGATTAGATTAACAAGTGTTAATGTCTTTTGTATTAGTCAGGATTCTCTAGGTTCTGAACTTCCTCATGCTGCTTTAATATTGTTCCTCATGTTGTGGTGACCCCCAAACATAAAATTATTTCATTGCTACTTGGTAACTTATGAATTGTAATATATTTGATACGCAAGATATCTGACATAAGACCCCATCAAAAGGGGTTGTGACCCACAGGCTGAGAGGAACAGAACACAGAACATGAATGCATACAAAGTGATATGATTAGATTGGCTGGCCTGGATGGGTTGGGCAGTCCAGCAGTGGCTGTTTGTTCACTGGAAAGACTGAGAGCCCTGAAGCTTCTCACTGCAGGAGGATGGATGTCCCTGCAGTTCCAGTTGGGCACCAAAGGCCTGGAAGATTTCCAGAGACCCCTCAGTCTTAAGCTCTCGTAGGAAAGCTCAAGAAGCTGGGTTCTGGTGTTAGGGAACAATAGCGGCGGTAGTGGTGGTGGTGGTGGCGGCAGCTGCAACAGCAGCAGAGTAGATGCACTCAGCCACAAGAAGCAAAGGCAAGCAGGCAAAAAGTAGCACTGCCATTTTTCTCAGTTCTCTTTCTGTCTGGGCTTCTGCTGGAAGGTACTGTCGACTCTGGGCACCTTCCCCCTCAGATAACTTTTCTGGGGAAGCATGTTTCTTAGTTGATTTCAGACCCACTCAAGTTGAAATCACATCGTCTAACCACTACCTGTGGTCAGTTTTCCCTAGCTTCCCTGCCTAATGCTGTCCACATGCCCGTAAACCTGCTTAGCTTCACTTTCCTTTTAAGAGTGAGGCCTTCTTGCCTGTATCTTTTGAGTGTCTGATTTGAATTCTGGTGTCAGCCATGAGAGTACAGGGCTGTGTAGATGTGAAAAAGAGACTGTCATCCCACATCCAGGTGGGTATCCAGAACAAGCACAGCGAGCCAAGCGGGGATGGAGGCTGTCTGGGTGTGTTATTCTGCTCATGGCCTTGGCATTTGTTATTCTTGTCTGTAACAGCCTTTCCAGAAATGCCCCCACTTTTCCGGTCGCCGAGCAACTGTGAGAACAAATTAATTATGCATTTTCTCACTGTGTGTGATTAAGGGGCAGATGGAGGGAAGGGTTCTCTGTAGCTTTTCTGGCCACAAAGTTCCCAAATGGATAGTTTCCAGATTGACGAGTTCAGGTCCCCAACTCCTGTGGGCATCTATGCAGGCAGGCTTGCTCTTTGGCAAGGGGAACCCCGAGTTGCCAGTAATAACATTGTTATTCTCATAAATTTGCAACTCATTTACTGTTTGCTGAGTGCTTGTAGTTAGTCGTGACAGTTCATTTGTTGGGATTCCAGGGATGCTGGGACAACTTTTTTTTTTTCTTTTTTGCTTCATACCTTTCTAAATTATTGTCGGCAGTGTCAATTCCACTGCTAGAGACTAATTCCTTCAGCCTAAAACTCTGTCCCCTATTAAGATATAGATGTTGGTCCAGGAGATGGCTCACTGCCATCCAAGCCTAAAGGTCTGAGTTCAGTCCCCAGAAGCCGTGTTTGAAGCAAGCCAGATAGGTGTGGTGGTACACACTCTTAATCTCAGTGCATGGGAGAACAAGGCAGGCAGATCTCTGTGAGTTGGAGCCAGCCTGGTCTACATGGTATGTTCCATACCTGCTGAAGTTACATGGTGAGGCTCTTTGTGTCAGTTGCTTTTCTTTTGCTGTGATAAAACACCATTACCAAGGCACTTACAGAAGGAGCTGGGAACTATCGTTGGTCTGCAAACTATCGTTTTAATTTCTGTTTCTTCTTTAGAAGTACAATGGTATCATACACCCAGGCCATCCAACTCACAGTCCTGCCTTGGTTTAGACTCACTTTCCAGTCTAGACAGATTTTGAGATAGGGATCCTTTTGCCTCCAAGTGCTGGGTATGCAGGCCCGCATCATCAGGTTTGGCTTTAATGCTGTTCTTTCCTAACTGTAGCGTCAGCTTCAGATTTTAGTTGATTTTGTTTGAGGTTTGTCCCTCTTCTCAGGACATAGTATTTCATGCTTTCTCCATCATCTACATATCTATTAATTTTCCAATAGTTGTTAGACATTGTGTTTAACTTTTAGGGTATTACATATTTTTGTAATGAATGTTCTTAAATTTTGATCTGAGGCCTTGTTAAGTTTTGCGGGGGGGCTGGAGAGATGGTTTTCATGTCTTCCTTTGCTATTTGTTAGTTGGAATGAGATAGTATTTAGGATATCTCTGACTACTGAGGCCAGAACTTTCTGGGTATGAATTATGAGGCTTTTTCAGTCTGGAATATGTAAGCCACACATGAATCCTGGTACCTAACTCTACTCTTTTGGGGTTTGTCTGGACGCCAGCAGGTTTTGCATGTGTGTAGGATGATGAGCCTTAAACTGAACACCAGGGGATGGGCCCTGCAGATTGCCAGCTTTCCTTTAGTATTATTTGTTTTTATATATCTCTCGTTGACTGTGAACTCTTTCTGCACTTAATTCCATCTCTCAACTCAAGGGTGCTTTTCACAGAGACTCTGCAGTAGACTGGGGCCACCACAGGGTTCATCCTCCTTCCTTCTACCTTCATTGATGGATGCCTGGGCTTTGAAAACCACTCTTTTATGTATCAAATGTGAATATAAAGGTAACAGAAGTCCCTTTTCTAGGACATTAAGGTTTATGGGCTGGGAGACCCCCAAGTTTAGCTTTGCCATCTCCTAAGGTGGGGAAGGCTGGAGTGTGGGGGTGACATTTTATGGCCTTGGATGTAGTGGGAAGGAGATGCTATGTTTCATTAGATATTATTGATTGGACACTAGTGTGATGTCAGAGAGGGCATTGGATCTCCCCAGCTCAATGCAGTTGAGCAGTCTGGGTAAGTGACACTGGTTTGTGTGCTCTCAGTGTGTGGCACTGCGGGATACTGCTGAGGGAGCAAGCTAGAGACTCAGCTAGTGTTTAACTTTCTATTATTGTTGGAGCTTTGGATGTCCTTGTGGGCACTAGAAGGACTTTTTCACTTAGTAACTGATTCTGAGAGAGCTGGAATCTCTTTTGGCAATATGGCTTCCTTATGCGAACCAACTGATGGAGAGTCCTTATTCCCCAGCCACCTCCATTTATAAGATAGTGAAGGCCTCATTGTTTTTGGTCTAAGTGTCCAGCACCCGGTCCCAGAGAACTAGGTACATTTCTTCAGGTCCCTTAGGATAAGTATAGAAATACTTATATGTGACCTCACTTCCAAGCAACCTCACAAGGTAGAAATTGTTTATGGATGGGTTGAAGACAAAGTTGAGAGAAGTTCTATGACTTGCCCATGGTGCTGGTGCTGCAGTTCAGTGCCGTCACTGTCATTGTCATTGTTCTCATCATCATCTTCATCCTCTTTGCCATATGCTAACTGTACAGTGTAATGCATTATGATACTGCCAAACATGCGTACAATATACTCAATCAGATTCAAGACTCAGTTGGCTCTGTTTGGAATCTATGGCCTTGTCTTTCACTGTCCCCTACTTCTTCACATCATTTGTGGAACACTTGTGTATCTGCTCCTCTGTCTCATGACATTCCCAAACCTTGCGCAATTCTGATGGGGCCCCTGTGGATTCAGTCTAACTGTTCCTTTCTGCCAAGTTCGAGGAGGTAGAGCCTCTGCTCCCAGGGATTCAGGCAGGAAAGGAGAATGGTCCTTCTTGGGCCTTTGCTCCATTATTTCAAATCAGTAATTAATCGGCACCGAGTTTATCTTATTAGTCATTCATTGCCCCCCACTCGCAAACCACAAACCAAGCTCTCTAAGAACAATGCTTTTAATTAATATGAGGCAGATTAAAACTCATCACAGCGAGATTATTGGTAATGAGGTAGTCATAAGGCATGTTACTGAGCTGGGAGTGAAAAGGAAGAAGGAGCCTGGGCAGGGGGACCATGCCAGGTGCTCTGTGATAGTTCAGGGGAGATGGGAGGCAGGTGTGGGGCTCTTGGTGAGGAGGCACTGCACTCTAACATCAAGCTGACCAGTGAAGCCAGTTACTGGGTAAGGCACAGCTGGGGTTCAGTGATCAAATGGGTACTGGATATCAAAGGTAGTCACAGATATTAGGGACCTCTGAGGGGACCCTGAAGTTATGTTTAGAATAGTACTTCATTTCTATGTATGTTCCTATCTTTTCACTTCCTCTCTCCATCCCTCCTTGCCCCCTCCACCCCTCTTACTTTTTGTGACAGAATCTAGAATTCTCTAGTTACCCTCAATAGGCCTCAAGCTCATGGGCCTCCTTCCTCGGCCTGCAAATTATGGGATGAAAAGGTGTGTGCTATAGGTGCTATTTGCATTTTTTGTATGGTGATGCTTTACACTAAGTGACAGTTTGTGAAATTAGTTTGTTTCTATTAGGTTATAGGACCCAGGCTTATTAGGCTGAAGGGAGGGGATTGAGATAGATGTTTCTGCTTGTATGTATATATGTATGTATGTATGTGTGTATGTATTGGCCTTTTCCAGACAAGCTTTCTTTGTGTAGTTCTGGCTGTCTTGGAACTCACTCTGTAGACCAGGCTGGCTTCGAACTCACAGAGATTCTCCTGCATCTGCCTCCTGAGTGCTGGGATTAAAGAATGCATCCCCACGGATTGGCTATATTTTGGGTCTTACCCATTCTGACTGGGATACAATGAAATCTCAAAGTAGTTTTAATTATCATTTCCCTGATGGCTAAAGACGTTTAACATTTTAAAAATGATTTCAGCCTTTTGTATTTCATCTTTTGGGAACTCTTTGTTTTATTAAGTTTTAGACATTTCATTCCCTGGGAAGATTGATTTGTTTCCCTTCTGTGTCTTTCTGCTAAGTTTTGAGCACTGGCTGTATGCTGGACTGGGGGCTAGGCTTGACTTTAGGTCTTACTTTATTTATCCACAGTGGTGAGCATAATTATTGTCCCTTTCTGCTCAGGAAGAGACCAAGGTTCTGGGTTTATCAACTTATTGAGGTTTGATGACAAATTAGGGCCTAAGTCTTCCTGAGTCTAGTGTCAGTGCCATTGATGAACAAGTCATATGACCCTTTTTGTTTGTCTAGGGGTGAGCACATCCTTTATATCCTTCTAAAATATATCCAGCTGTCAGGGCTACCTCACTTCCTAACCTGATGCCCATCCAGGGTCTGTCATGTGGAGTGACTGGGCAGTTACCTTACCTTCCTGTTGTTGACAGATTTGACAGTACGGGCTTATGATTACTACTCCAGTGATATTGTGGTGACATCTACACTGTAATCCCAGGATGTATGAAACCTCACCATAGCTCACTTTCTTGTAAATGGTGCAGAAGATACAGGGCTGGGTGTCTGGAGGATGAAGGCTTGGACTACTCATCTACTGGTTGTGAGGCTTTGAGATTGTCACTGAACTCTGATGGACATATCAGATACCTCTGTTCTGGGGCTGGGGAGATGGTTCAGTTGGTGAAGTGCTTGCCCTGTTAGTGTGAGACTCTGAATGTGATCCTCAGAACCCATGTGAAAAGGTGAGCTTGATGATGTGTGCTTGTAATCCCAGTGAGGGTGAGATGAGCCATGGAGATGGGTAGATCCATCCCTGGGGCTCACCGGCCATCCAGCTTAGTCTGCTTGATGGAGTTCCAGTCTGTTGGGATATTCTGTCTTATACAAAAGGGGGATGGCAACTGGGGTTGTCCACTGAAATACACCACACACACACACACACACACACACACACACACACAGAGGGTGAGGCAGGCAAACAGTTAGAGAGACAGTGACAAAGAGACAGAAACCAGAGGAAGACATAGTGTTGGGAGAGAGAGAGATCCTGTTTTCAGAAGTAATATGCAGATTAAAACCCCTGTATTTGAGTGTCTACTGTGGGATGGGTGTGTACTTACTCTAGGGCACTGGACAAATGCCTTTGCATTTATTATAGCTGCTACTGGCTGATGGGCCTAGCTCCATGTAATCATTCATCTTAAGTAACTTAACAGGCAGTTTCTTGGCCACACTAGCCACATTTCAGGTGGACATTAGCCACGGTGTAGGCACTAGACCAGAGCATTTCCAGGTCCCAGGAACTTCACTGGGCAGTATGTTGTCAGCTGGCTCTTGTGTATCAGCCCATCCTTCCTGTACTTCTGAGGGCACGAGCTCAAGGACGTGTGCTTACAGACCAGAGTCAAGAGGATGAAGAGGTCAGGATATCCTGGAAGCTTTGTCCATCAAGTGCATATGTACGACTGGAAGATGCTGCCAGGAAGACAGGTCATTCATTCCTCCATGGATTCCAAGCTGCCACACATCATTGTGTGGTGCCGAGTGGAGTGGGTGAAAGCCAGAAGCTTGTTACTAAGTCTGGAACTTTCCTGCATGTTAGAATGAGCCTGGCTTCTGATCCAAAAGGATAGTCAGTGGACCAGGGTCAGAGCAGGGACCCTGAGGTCTGAGTGTCACTCCGTTAGCAACATTTGCATTTTCACTGTAACAGATTATTTTATGTTTTTAGTAAGTGGCAATACTCCTCTGTTTGTTTGTTTGTTTGTTTTGTTTTTTTGTTTTTCGAGACAGGGTTTCTCTGTATAGCCCTGGCTGTCCTGGAACTCACTCTGTAGACCAGGCCTCAAACTCTGAAATCCCCGCCTGCCTCTGCCTCCCAAGTGCTAGGATTAAAGGCGTGTGCCACCATCGCCCGGTGCTCCTCTGTTTCTGTGTCTGTCTGTCTGTCTTTCTCTGTCTGTCTCTGAGTATGGGTATGTGTTTGTGAGTATGTGTATGTGTTAGAAGCTGGATGAAGGTGACCTCAGGGCTTCTTTATTGGGAATGAGGGTGCTACATGCAGTAGGAACTGACTCAGTTTCCTGGATCCTGAGTTTGTGGGTATATGACATATCTTTGTCACCAGTCTACATTTTTGGTGGCTGGGTGGCTTACCCTGAGGTACACAGAATATACTGTAGATACACAGCCTCTGTACCCAAGACCTGATTGATGTCCCCAGGTAACAGGTGAGCCAGGGTTGCCTGGTCTCTCTGGGCTTGAGTGAACCAAGGATCTCTGTGTTGCTCAGACACTGTTTAAAGGTGACCATCTTTTTGTGTCAAGAGATAGTCATTTGTCACTGTTTCAAGTCACAGATGAGGGACAATGAACTCCACTTCCATTTGGAAGGGCTGCACGGGATGAAGCCAAGGCTTTCTAAGGACTTGTAGCAACTGAGACATGTAGATGTTCATAAATACAATGGACAGGTCAAATGTGTGCGCGCACACACACACACACACACACACACACACACACACACACACAAACTGTGGCCTAAGTTTTTCTCTTGATCTGAAAAAAATCCCTCAATTTTCACCTTAATCATTGTAAATTTAATTTCAGGGCTTAGCACTGTGTATCAGCCAGTTTGTAATTACATAAGTAATTTGAACGGGGGAAATTGAATGTGAAGAATTATTAAGTAGTGGAAGATGACTAACCCCTAAAAGAGACCCAATGAGATTCTAGTGGTATAACGGTAAATACACACAGCAGCTACCCCTGGAAAGGAGGGGCAGAGAATGAGGCTGGGTCTAATGACTTAGCTAAGTTCTTTCTATTGTGGGCAAACCGCTGGCTGGTGGAAGAACTTGTTAGTAGGTATGATCACAAGCTAATCTGTAGGAACAGGCTTTTGGGTGCTCAACACTTGCTTCCCAGAAGCGGACTACAGGGGACAGAGTCTGGACTGCTGCTGATCTTTAAGCTCTCTGGAGTGAGTACCTGCCCCTGCTGGCTGCTCATCTCTGCTGAATACTAGAATCATTAAGGGTGACACTGACATCTTTTGGTTGTCATAGAATCCCCTGGCTTCCCAAATCTGATACCTAGCCTTGGGATCAAAAAAGCAGTGGGGTCCATAGCTGAGAGTCAGTAGATGGTCCTGCTTATGGGAGTTTGGCTTACTAAGGTTTTTTACATTTAGGGGCAAGAGAAATGGCCAAATTGGTAAAGTACCTGCTGTGTGAGCATGGGGACCTGAGTTTGGATTCCTGTCACCTACATAAATGTTGGGTGTGGTGGTACAGCATTGGGGGAGTTGGGAGACAGGTGGATGGGTCCCTAGAGCTCACTGGCCAGCCTGGATGGTCCAGCTTCAGTATAGAGCCTGTCTCAAAAGTGAAGGTGGAGACTGATTGTGGAAGACTCCTGATGTCAGCCACTGCCCTTCACAGGTGCTCACACAAGCTGAGATGTTTGTTCGTAATAGTTTTAATCTGTTACTGACCATACAATCTCAGAATTATAGCTTAGCTTTGATCAGCTGTGGCCTCTGCTTTACCCAGTTCCATAAGTCCTTCTAAGTCTTGCACTGGCCGGCTTGGTCCTGCTTTTCATTCTTTGTCATCTGGGGTTGAAGCAACCCTTATGGTTGCTAGATAGGTGTTCTACTACTGAACTACACCCCTAGTTCCTGTTTTCCACTTCTTAAGGCAATTTCCCTGTCTCCAAACTCTGACTTCTCTGGGGTCACTCTCACATTTAGGATTAATTTCTTTCTTACTGTTTCCTCCTAGAGGAAACAACTACCATTGGTGCCTCTCAGAGCCTGTCTGTATCAAGGCTGGAGGACTCCACTGAGGGTGGAGCTGTAGGAACATAGGTTTCTCTAGAATGGGTTGTGATGGGCATCAGAACCATACACCAGGTTTAGGAATGGTTAGGTTCCCGTGGGCCTGAAGACAGCCTAGAGCTGGGACATGGGTGTTTAGGGCTACAGTGGGTTACTTTTTTTTTTAATTTTTAAAACTTTTACTTACTTTATTTTCTGTGTCTCAGTGTTTGGCTGCGTGAGTGGATGTGCACCAAGTGCGTGCCAGGTACCCATGGAGGTTAGAAGAAGGCACTGGATCCCCTGGAACTGGAGCCACAGATGATTGTGAGCTGCCATGTGGGTGCTGGGAACCAAATCAAGTCCTTTGCAAGAGCAGCTAGTCTTCTTAACTGCTGAGCCGTCTCTCCAGACCCCAGTGTTCTCTTCTTATTATCTAAGGCAGTGGTTCTCAACCTTTCTAGTGCTGTGACCCCTTAATACAGTTTCTCATGTTGTGGTGACCCACAACTGTAAGATTATTTTCTTTCTTTTTTCTTTTTTTTTTCTTTTTTTTTTTTTTGGTTTTTCGAGACAGGGTTTCTCTGTGTAGCCTTGGCTGTCCTGGAACTCACTCTGTAGACCAGGCTGGCCTCGAACTCAGAAATCCACCTGTCTCTGCCTCCCAAGTGCTGGGATTAAAGGCATGTGCCACCACTGCCCGGCTGTAAGATTATTTTCATTGCTACTTTATAACTATAATTTTGCTACCGTTACAAATCATAATGTAAATATCTGTGTTGATGCTCTTAGGTGACTCCCGTGAAAACTTTTGTGATGCACACGTTGAGAGCTGTTGATCTAAAGCAACAGTTTGCTGTGTGGCTCCCCTGACAACTAATTATATGGGAAGACATTTCTTCCACCATTGGTAACTCTTCACATGGCTTTATTGTCAATTACATCATTATTCTTCTTAGCGCTGGAGAGTGTAAGTTCATCTTCAGTGTTCAGACTCCTTTGTTACTTCATTGGTAAGCAGGAAGCAGGTCTGCACAGCACACTGGGACTCATTGTTTCCTAAATTATATGTAAGGTGCATCTTTCCTTAGAAGCTCTCGATCTTATAAGGCAGGACCTACTTCATCTCAAGACCCTTAGCTGGGCTGCACTGAGGACTCAGGAGGACCAGCTTGGTTGCATGTGGGGACACCTCTCAGCTCTAGTAGGACAGAGTCGCATCAGGGTGTAAACGAAGGGTCCCATCACTGACAACCTAAGCAGTGGTCTATTCCATGTGAGAGAATAAAGCCCTTGATTCAGTGTTTTATAGACGTTGACTGGGGATTCATTTCTATTTTCTACATAAGATAACTGATTTTCTTATCTTTGAAGGTATCAACTCTGCCTCCCTGAACTACTTTGAGGATTAAAAATTATGATATATATGAATAGCTATTATTATTTACTATTATTACTGTTATCATCCTGTCAGTGGTAGAGTTACAAACAAACTTGAAGTGTTAGATGGTCGAGGAGTAGGTGGCAAAAGTGTTAGCTCAGAATACCCTTGACTGAGTCAGTATATTAGTCTTGGTTAATAGCTGTGAATACTCCTTTGTAGGGAGTGAGGCTACAACCAGTTAAGCTTTGATGGAATGGGAGGTGCCTGGAAGCTTCAGGCTGTGTGCAGAGGCTGGGCTCAGTATGAGGTTAGAACTGAACGCACTGAGGACAAGGAGAACATTAAAGTAAAAGATGAAAAAAGAGGGTGTGTGTGTTGTGTGTGTGTGGTGTGTGTGTATGTGTGTGTGTATGTGTGTGTGTTTGTGGTGTTGGTTTATGTGTGTGTCGTGTGTGTGTGCGCGTGTGTGTGTGTTGTATGTATGTGGTGTGTGTGTATGTGTGTACGTGTGTGTGTTTGTGGTGTTTGTTTATGTGTGTGGGGTGTATGTGTGGTGTGTGTGTGTGTGTGTGTGTGTGTGTGTTATATCTGCTACCCTGGGCACTGGGGAGTAACCAAAGGTGTTTGAGCAGAGAGACAGGAGAATGGAATGCTGCCCAGGGAACATGCTGTACTCACTCCTCTGGCTTGCCTGTCTCCTGCAGGTACATCTCCGCTCTGCCAGGCGTCTCTGTGAGCTGTGCTGTGCCAACCGGGGCACTTTCATCAAGGTGGGCCAGCACCTGGGGGCTCTGGACTACCTCCTGCCAGAAGAGTACACCAGCACGCTAAAGGTGTTGCACAGTCAGGCCCCACAGAGCAGCATGCAAGAGGTCCGTCAGGTCATCCGAGAAGACCTGGGCAAGGAGGTATCTTGTTGTTCTGGAGCAGGGAGGGATCAGATTGAAAAGTGAGTCTTTACAAAAGGCTCCAGCGGAGTTCAAGCTTCCTGGGCCTAGGATCCATCACTGATGCAGAATGTCTCAGCAACATTCAGTGCTGAACCAGAAGCTAGAAGGAGCCTCAGAGACCACCACTAAAACACACTAGCTAAAATATGATATGTCTGTATTCAACAGTGTTGGCTAGTAACCTAAGAGGATTCGGCCGCTTCAATCTAATTCTGTCTGTCAGCCACTGGGGTTTACTGCACGCTGATAACTATTGTGTGTTACGCTGTCACAGTTGGTCCTCACAGCAAGTGTGAGGAGGGAACTATTACTGACTCCGTTTTACTGCTGAGGGATGGAGGGGAGCACACTGTGCTAGGATGACATCAGCACACCATCCAGTTCACTGCATTGGCTTCTCTGGAAGGTTCTGGTAGACACTTGTGCACCCTGCTTGATCTCCCAGGATGGGAAGTTTATTCTTATCTGCCACCCAAGGTACAAGGTGCTTTATTCTTTTGTAGGTGGCCTCTGACAACTCCTGCTGGGCAATGGTGTCAAGGCCTTTAATCCCAGCACTTGGGGAGCCAGGTGGATCTTTGTAGGTTCAAGACCAGCATAGTGAGTTCCGGGACAATATGTGCACGTACACACACACACACACACACACACACACACACACACACACAATACCATACCACGCACCACGCACATAACACACACACCACACACACTACACACATAAACACACACATGCACCACACATACCACATACTCATCACACACCACACACATAACACACACACACACATAGACATACACAGACCAACACACACACACCACACCACTCACCGCACACCACACACACCACACACACCACACACACCACACACACACACCACATACTCACCACACACACACACACACGCACACACACACACATACTACATACATACCACCCACACATACACGCACAGACACACACACACACACAGAATAAGATAAAACTCTTTTTTTTTTTCTTTCTTTTTTGATTTTTCGAGACAGGGTTTCTCTGTATAGCCCAGGCTGTCCTGGAACTCACTCTGTAGACCAGGCTGGCCTAGAACTCAGAAATCCGCCTGTCTCTGCCTCCCAAGTGCTGGGATTAAAGGCGTGCACCACCACCGCCTGGCCAAGATAAAACTCTTAATAAGACTTATGCACACCTGCACACCCAACCTGGTCCTCACCACCTGTTTTATGACTGCTCCAGCATGGGAGGGTCATGCTGGCCAGAGTTTGGGCTCTGGAGGCACAGTCTTGGACCTAGTACAAGTTATATGCTCTCATTAACCTCACCTTTTGTGTCAGCTGAGAAAGAGCACAGTGTCCACCTTATGGGGTTAGCATGAAGATTACAGAGAATGGAGAACAAACAGAGGCTTGTATCCTGTGCTCTGCCCATCTCACTGTGCACCCCTAGCCGTCAGTGCCTGTGGTCTTGGTGCCTGTTCTGCCTGGAATGCTTTTTACTATAATCGCTGTCTGCCAAGTGATTCTAGACCAGTGTCCATCTGTCCATCCGTCTAGCAGATGCCAGGCAGAGAGCTTGGTGCTGTTATCCCATATACACTGCAGTAGTCCTGGGAAGTCCTTGACCTCCCTAGACCATCTGAATCAGGCCCACATAACTCAGCCCCCTCCAAGTGTTGCATTGTCGCTTGATTGGCATCAGGCCATTCTATTGCAAATCTGAAAACCTTTAGGGATGAAGACATGACAGTCCATTTCCTCTGGACCCGTAGCACCAGAATAGTAAGGTGTATACTAGGAGACAGTGTTTGTTTAATGGGTAAATGACCTTTCTAGGATACGGGGTTCTTTTTTTTTTTTTTTTTTTTCAGATACCTGGAGCTGGTCATAAGCATCCAGCACCCAGTTATGTAAGAGATCTTGCATATTAGCAATGGCTTGGCTACAGAGAGGTTCGTGATCTGACCATTTGGGCCCTGGTCAGGCACAGATGCCTCCAACTGCCGTGCTCGGAGGAACATTTCATCCAGAAGGAGAAGGAGTGAAAGGCAGGTTGAATTAGGGCTGGAGTCAGGGAGAAAGCTGGAGGCTAGGAGGACCGGGGCTTGGCTAGAGTAACCCTGGGCAACAGGAAGGGGGCTGGCCTCGGTGCTAGCCAGCATGCCTTTGCTTCTTGCTGAGACTGTTGGCCTCTGGCTTCCAGCAGTGTGAGATTCACCCCCTTTCCCAAGCTAAAACGAAATAAGTCACTGTAATAACAGTGGCTAGCACATCATTGCTGGCATGTGGGAACTCAGCAGGAGTGGGTGTGAGGAAAGGGTGGGGGGAGAAGAGTAACCCTTAGAAGCTTCAGAGTAAGGAATGGGGCCAGATCAGGCCAGGGCAGAGGGAGGTGAAGTCACAGTCATATTAGAGTCAGTCATGGTGGGTCCACCCAGCTGGCTGCAGGGTGTTTGGGGTTAGAAGATGTCTCCTGCAGATTCATGGTGTCTTGTCTAGCCTCCTCCAGCTATATGGCCACTGTCTCAGTGTGTCTGTAGTCCTCCTGACATAGTGATGCTTTTGTCCAGGTTCTAGTTCCCTCAGGCTCTCCCTCACTTCTGGGGAGCTTAGAACCCTTGGGTTTCTTACCACAGGCTCCATAGGTACCCAGTCAGAGTCTTCCCCCACCCCCAGGAAAGTGGCGTTTATTTTCTGGTGACACACTCTGTCATCTGTGGGTGGAGGGGAGGGGAAAGAGGCTGTGTGAGAGGCAGGGTAGGTGAGTGTGGGGGTGTGAGGGCAGAGGAATTCATTCACTCCGCATGCCCCCCTCCTCCAGCCCCTCTCGAGAACTGCTTGGGAAGAACTCTCTCTTTAAGGACAGTGTTGATGAACTGTACAAATTCCTGCACCCTTTGGCTGTAGGGCATCTTGCAGCAGCAGGCTCCATCCCTGGTCTCCAGGTTGTAGCCGGAAGAAGCTGAACATTCAGCCTTCACCATTTTCTTAGCTCTCCTGCCCTTGGCTAGGTTTTAAGGTCATTCCAAGTTCAAAGACTGTGTGCCCGCGCCTACTTCTCAGACTACAGGCAGGGCTAGGTAGGAGCTGTAGATTAACAGGCTGCTTTGGTCCTGACAGCTTAGTTCGTGTTTCTTTAGGACCCTTCCCATCCACAGAGTCTCTGAGAGTCCATTGTATATTCAAACCTTTTCCTGTTCCAGGTTGTTGGGGCTGGCCTGAAAGGGTGTCCCCACTATAGGGATGGGATATAAGATAGAGGCAATATCACTCCTGGACTCTTTGCCCCATGATTACACTTAGTTCCAGATGACGTCCTGCCCCTGGACATCAGGTAGTACCATGGTATAGAGAAAAAGGTCACTGAAGGTCTTCATCTTTGCATAGGGACTAGATCAGAAGAGTTCTGGGGTTCACTTAGATAAGTGAAGGACAGCAGAAAATAATAGGAAGAAGCCCAAGAGCTGGGCCCTAAAGAGACATGGACGTTTTTTGCTGTCTCAGAAGTGACCTTGGTGGGGACTGAGTTGAGTATCTCAGCTGTTTCCTGACTACCCTTAGGGCCACAGGCCCAAATGCAGTACCACCTTTGGCCAGCAGGTGGCACCTAAGTTTATAAGTCAGGGAAATGTGTGCTCCAGTCTTTCCTCACAAGAGGTGTCCTGAAGAATGGGATTCAGGCTCTTTTTATTCTTGGGCAGGGCCCAAGGAGACCAGACTGATACTAACATGAATGGGGCAGGTACAGGCCTGAGTCATGAGGTGGTTGACTGTTGCTGAAGTTTGAGTAATTGTCCTCTAAAGGTCTGTGTCCTCTAATATTCTGAAAGGCCTGCAATGTTCTTTTCAGAATGTGAGCCTGAGGGGGTGGACTTTGGAGTCATGGCCTCTACCTGTAGTAGAAAGGGCCCACTGGGAGGACTTAGGCTGCTGAGAACTGTAATGGTTACTCTTCTTATGGATGTGGTAGATATGTGGTAAGAGGCAGCTTAAGGAAGGAGGGGTTTATTCGGCTCTTGTTGTGAAGGTAAAGTGTGGTGGCAAGTCCGAGGCTGTCACAATGCACCTGCAACTAGGAAGCAGAGACCAGTGAACACCACTGATTAGCTCTGTGTCCTTTTATTCAGTATGGGATCCTAGTCTGCCACACGCTTTTAAGGTGTGTCTTCTTACCTCAATTAAGCCAATGCAGAGAATTCTTTATAGACACACAGAGGAGGTTAATTTCTGAGACCCTTGAAGGGATTTGTTAGTCTCTTCCCATCTCTCTTTGCTTCCTGATCATGAAAGAAGCATTCTGTCCCTCCCTGACCCGTTCTCAGTCTTTGGTCTCATTCATGAATCCTCTAAAGAACCATGAGCCCATCTTCCAGTTCTAACAACCTGTGATTTGGAGGCTCAGCACCTGTTCATTCCTCTTCCTTCTTTCTCTTGCTTATAGAAACAGCTGGGACATGTGGGAACAGAAGCAGTTTTTAGAGCCTGATGTGACCAATTGTGGTTTGACCTCATTCCGAACCTCATGGTGTGAGATAGGTTGATCACATGAAGGCCCAAGGGGGTTGCAGGAGAGAAAGGGATTCTGTTCAAGCAAATAGAGATTTTCTGAAGGGTGTGGCTTGTGACCCAGGTTCTTCAAAGATGGGCGGGACTAGAGAAGTTGTATGTGGGAGGAAGGGCACACTGAGGGATCATGTGGGCTCTCTCACGGGCTTGCTCACACGAGCTCTCAGCAAAGGTGTACTGGGAGGAGAGGCAGAAGTTGACCGGGCTTTGTTAACTGGACTATAGTGTTTAGGAGCTGAGGCCATGTTCTGAAAGGCCTGCAATGGTCTTTCCAGAATGTGCACCTGACAGGGTGAATGAACTGGAGAGGAGACAGGGCAAGGGAAGCTGAAGATACTGACATAGAGACAGTGGAGAAGGGAATGCATGAGAGACTGAGCCTGATTGTCTCAGTGATG